AGTCATGTAGTAAAATTATTATGCATAGTATTACGTATGCAGTTCTCTGAATGAAAGTGGGGCCCCTTCTCAATGTCAGTGTATGTGGGATGTCTTTCAGTTATCCTCACTTTACACACTCTTTGTGGCTTTCTTCACAGGGCCTAGTGTTGTAACATTAATTCATTTTTTTGTTTTTGTTTCCTGGCCTTACATTCCATGATAAGAAGACTAGTGTTCATATGGACTATCAAATGTTTAGCATCAAAGGCGGCGTTCAGTCCTATAATTTATGTCCAGGAAACTATGAATCCCCGGCTCTGGCCTTGGGACATTTGGGCTTTTCCTCTCTGTGAGAGCTGAGCAGGAAAGAGGGGCCCCTGTCAGTTCACCCCAGTTCTCAGCACAAATGGAAAGGGGGACCATGTGTTGAAGGAATTTCAAGGAAGTGTGTATGTGTGAGAAAGACCTGAAAGCCTGGAGGCCCCATGAATGGAGAGGGACGCATTTTTTTTATGTGATTCCATGGTCCTAGTTGGAAAGAAAGGCAGGGTCTCCCGTCACAGCCATTTTAAAATCAGCCATGCTGAGCCAACTTGCTGTCTAGGAAAGCTCTTCTTGTCAGAGCTTGTCGTACGTTGTTTGTTGCACAGCTTTAGAGGAACATGCATGGCACAGTGCAGATTTCATGTTCAATTAGTTGTGATTCAATTAATTATTTCAATGAGTGCCATTGCAGTTTCACTTATGCTTTCATTTTTCAAATATAAAGCGATATTGCATAGTTTTCTGGTTGCCAGTTTGATTGTAGCCAAATGAGTTGAGGGGCCCTTAATGTAGCCCTCACATCAAGGGCCAGATGGTACGAATCAAGTCTTAAGTGATTTGTTTTTTTCTTTCATGGTGGTATTGGTTTCAGCTGCTCAGTTCATACCCAATCTATACTCTTTTGTCCCGTCATAACTGAAACATTTAAACCAGCAACTGATGCACGTCCGGTGTGGTTTACTAAGACCGAATCAAAAGAATGACTCAGAATTTACCAAACATGCCAAAGGCAGTGAATCTGCTCACTGGTCAAAGATACTTAATGTAACCATTACTAAAGAATTCTCACCAAGACAAAGCAATCACTTAAAATGGTTGAGGTATGCAGAGGGTTGAAGGCCAAATGACTGGACCGGAGAAATAAACTGCGGAAGTTGGAACATGGGCTTTCTGTGCTCCAAAAAAATGCGTTCAGAATGGAATCTATGTTTGATACTGGAATAAAACAGTAATAGCCCAAAGGAATAATAACTTGTGAAATAGTTGCAGGTGAAAGTGAAGCGATTCCACAATGAGTCTTAATGAGTTGCTTGTAATATTTTCACTCAAAATTGTGTCACTGGCAACTGGAGTTTTGTGTCAGCGTGCTGTGCTAAATATAACAAGCAGTTAAATAAGGACATGAAACGAGCCAGGAGAGCCTAGTGTAACAGGACCCAGTCTTTCAGCCACAGTTCTAAACCTGATAAAGAACATTGTCTAAAAGCACAAATATAACTGACTGTATAAGGGAAACTATTCCCATGTGTCTGACAGCCTCCTGGAATGTTCCATTTACTGAACAGAGATCTATCTATCTGTCTATCTATCTACCTATCTATCTATCTATCTATCTATCTATCTATCGCGATAAACACTCTTTTTGCATATCAATGCCTAAAGGGTGTCACTTTCTTAACACTTTAGTACAATGTATATCATCCCTACATGTTATTTTGGTTTATTCACTCCCTACATCGTTTCAACAGTTATCTAATTTTGTAGAGGGTCTACTCGAGTTTTTGGTAGTTTTGAGAGTGGTCCTCCTGTGTGGCGAGCTTAAATGAATGAAGCTTGTTTACCATTTTTCTGGTCACGTGGCATGCACTCTCACACCCATTAGCAGCGTGTCTTCATGGCAGCTAACTTGAACAGAAGCATTCTGACGCTCCTGACATGGACCCAGCGGAGCGCGTGTCTCACGCGGGTTTTTTTCTTTCTAATTTGGTTGTAGCGGGTGTCTCGAGGCCGTGAGTTCGAACGCACAGAGTGGCCTTTTTAAAAATAGCGCAGTGGCCAAAATAGCCTTACATGAACGGCTAAGCAGAGCGATCAGACAAAGCCTCATGCCGAGAGCTGACCTGCTTCTATTATTGCACTCTTGTAACGGTCTAGTGAGCTACATCGTGAGAACGCGAGATCAGCAAGTAAACAGGGTAACCCTTGTCTCGCAGATATTGTGCAGAGCTGTAATGACCTCTGCTGGTTGCTCTAGGTAACTTCATTTAACGCAGCAGTTTTAATGCCGTGTACCTGACATAGGTTCTCTGATTGAGACTGACACGTGCAAGCACAAAAAAGTTCCTTAATAGTAAGATATTTTATACATTTTACACATTTATATAATAATATGTTAATTCCTTTCTTTTATTTTCTTTAGACAGATTTTTGAGGAGTTCTGACTAGCTGCTTGTATGCAGGGCATGACGACTCATTTTAAAGCGGACAAAGCTTTAAAGGTAATAACTTTTCCCTGTGATTCATAGATGTGATATAATTAGTAAATATTATCTGAACTATTATTATCTGGAATGTTCATTATCTCAACCTGTAAGAGGTAAGAACCTTTATATGGATGCTCCTTTGTACGGCACAAATTTTGCACCATATTTTTGGAGTAGTCTTTTTAATAAACATAATAATTTTTAGTCGTCTACTATATTTAATTATATATTTATTATTTCTATTTCTATTATATATATATATATAATATATTTATTTATTTTTAATTGTCTGTGTATACTGTTAATTGTAACTGTGTGGGAGATTTTGAAAATTATACTGTTCTACTTTTCAAAAGTTTGGGGTTTGTAAGGCTGTTTTTTTTTATACTGTAAAAACAGTATTATTGTGATATACACAATAATATATAATTAATATATATTAAGTAATATATTTTAAAGTGTAATTCATTCCTGTGATGTTAAAGCTGAATTTTCAGCATCATTACTCCAGTCTTCAGTGTCACATGATCCTCCAGAAATCATTCTAATGTCCTGATTTGCTGCATGAGAAACATTTCTTATTATTACCAGTGTTAAAATCAGTTGTGCTCCTTAATATTGTTGTTAACTTTTCTTTTTTTTTCAGGATTCCTTGATTAATAGTAAGCTCTAAAGAACAGAATATTTTTGAACATTATAACATTATAGTGACCTTTACTGTCACTTTTGATGAACTTAATGCATCCTTCATGAATATTAATAAGTATTATTGAACTGTAGTATATTTATTATCTGATTAAAAACCTTCTTTTTGTTTCTCCGTTGATTGAATTTGCCGAAACTCTCTGTTGTGTGGTTCAGGTCAAGAAGGAGGTTGGTGAGAATGCCCCGGCGCTCAGTGATGACGAGCTGGTGGCCATGTCGGTGCGGGAGCTCAACCAGCACCTGCGCGGGCTGACAAAGGAAGACATGGTCCAGCTGAAGCAGCGGCGGCGCACACTAAAGAACCGCGGTTACGCTGCCAGCTGCCGCATCAAGCGCGTCACGCAGAAAGAGGAGCTTGAACGGCAAAAAACAGAGCTGCAACAAGAAGTGGACAAACTGGCTCGTGAAAACGCCAGCATGCGACTGGAGCTGGACGCGCTTCGTGCTAAGTACGAGGCCCTGCAGTGCTTTGCCCGGACTGTCACGCGCGGGCCTCCCGGTAAGGTGGCCACCACCAGCGTCATCACTATTGTCAAGTCTGCCCATCACAGTGCCAGCTCCGCCCCGTTTTCGGCTCCCTCGTAGTGCTGATTGGCAGCGCCTGCCCAGCTCCTTCTGGTCCAATCTGGCTCTGAACCTAGACTGGCCCGCGGGCCTTTGCTCGACCCACACTGAGCAGAGGAAGCTCAGTGGTCAGACTGAGGGAAGGGTGGAGGCCTTAACCTGCGTGACTACAACAGGCTGCATCTATTTTTTTCACTTCTCTCTCTTTTACACACTCACAAAACACACATACATACAAAAACACATCTATATTGTCTGTGCACTGTGCTATAACCTCCGGCACCGGCAGGGCACATTGACCGCTCTTTCAACTTCACCACGGGCTGAGACTTAGCAGAGATGAGTACTTGTTAAAGTGTGAGATCGTACTTGACTTAACCATGGCAGCACTGGTTCGACAGCTATGATGCCCGTGACTTATTGCATATGCACCAGAAACGAAAATGAATAATGTATCATTATAGGACGTAAATATTTATTCATATTAATATTGTAAACATACACTACCGTTCAAAAGTTTGGGGACAGTAAATTTTTCTTTAAAAAAATAATACTTTTATTCATCAAGGACACATTAAATTGTGACCCTGGACCACAAAACCAGTCATAAGGGTCCATTTTGTTTTTTTAAATGGACATTTACAGATAATCTGAAAGTTGAATAAATAAGCTTTCCGTTGGTGTATGGTTTGTATAGGACAGTATTTGGCTGAGATACAACTATTTGAAAATCTGGAAAAAAATCTAAATATTGAGAAAACCGCCTTTAAAGTTGTCTAAATGAAGTTCTTAGCAATGCATATTACTAATAAAAAATTAAGTTTTGATATATTTATGCTAGGAAATTTACAAAATATCTTCATGGAACATGATCCTTGATATCCTAATGATTTTTGGCATAAAAGAAAAATCTATAATTTTCACCAATACAATGTATTGTTGGCTATTGCTACAAATATACCCGTGCTACTTTATGACTGCTTTTGTGCTCCAGGGTCACAATTGATCATACGTAACAGGAAAGACAGTATTCATCAAAAGAATCCTGAAATTCCTGGTTTCCACAAAAATATTAATCAGCACAACTGTTTTCAACGTTGATGATTGTAAGAAATGTTTCTTGAGCAGCAAATTAGAATGATTTCTGAAGGATCATGTGACACGGAACGTTCTGAAAATTCAGCTTTGCATCACAGGAACCATAAAGTAAAAAATGTTTTCAATTGTAATAATATTCCACTATGTGAATGTTTTTTTTACTGTATTTTTGATCAAATAGATGTAGCCTTGCTGAGCAAAAGCATAAGAATTCTTACCGACCCCAAACTTTTGAACAGGAACAGTTTTTTGACAGTTTATGTGATGCTGTCTTGCATCATGAAATACATTGGCATAAACTCATAATACATTGCTACCAATCATTGTGAAAGACCAGCGATTCTGATCCTGGTCAAAAATCAGGTGACCAACACAGTCCAAAGTTGAGAATGATGTTATCGACATCAAGGGCAAATCCTTATCCTGAAGCGTTACATTACTGATAAACAATGTATATTATCCAATGGGAAATGAGCCAATCCTCTCTTAGTCAGTTTAAACATAGGAACCCCAAATGGGAAAACGGCACTTATTTTAACTGTTGAATTACAGTATAATACTATGAAGCACTTGCATAGCAGACTGACGTATGTGAATATTCAAGACTGAAATTACAGAGTAACTGAGTTTCTAGGAAAGCACACTTCATGGAGGCTTTTTTATTGTTGCATTTGTTTTATGAGAGGTTAGTTAGTATAAAGTTAATTATCGTCAAAGTGTGACGTGTTGATGATAACATCCAAGCGGCACATCTGTGTTGTCAGTTATATATACCATTTTTCCTGACCTGTCTATACGACACCATAAAATGGTAGGTAATCCATATTGGATATTGTGATAACAGGAGCTGTCTTGGCAAAACAAAAAAAATGCAGTTCAGTTATAACCTGTATATTACAGAACTGAGTTAACAGCCTTAATCTTAAAAAAAATAATGTCAAAGTTAAGCTCCCAACTTCGTATAGAAAATTCCGTCCTCTCAGAAAGCATTCCTACTGCTAAGTCACAAAAGGTGCCACTGCCGGTGTTGGTAACCCTGATTAAAATGTACATAAAATGCAAATATTTGATATTTCGACACAGACACTTTGGGTAAGGAGAATCCTGGTGTCCTGAAACCAGCTCAAACATTCATCCCTAAAACATTAACACACTGTCTGTATTTGGTTGAACGAATCTGTCATTAAACTGAAGATGGCTGAAATCAGGATTGTCTCTTACCTAAGTGGCTATGACTGTTCGTGTGAGCCCTTCCACCACTGCAGGAAGCATTAGAGGGGTGTTGTGCTGCTGGGAAGCCCACTGTTTGCCCCAAATCTCTGGGGTCCTGTTGTGCTCTTAGCATTTTTATATCTCCACAAGTGTTTTATATGTTGCTTTATCCCCAAACATAATCTAGATCTGATGTTTCCCATTTGTTTCTATATGTATCCAGGACATGAAATACCTTCAGAGTGGTGTGATTGTTGTACTTCTTTTTTTTAATTACAGTGGTTTATTTAACTGGTTTTAGTTCAGATGTCCAATAGAAGAAAGTCCCACTCTCAATTCCTATATGTTAGTACATAAACTCAACACACTATTAGTTTTATGCTGAATGGTAGTGTTCAGATGATATTGTGGATCTTTATTTTAAGAGTGCAGATTTAAGAACGTCATTTCAGTATTCATCATTTATTTGCCATTGTTTTTGGTCCTACAGTCAGCATTTCAAACCTCTGTTTGTGAACGCGTCCTGTGCAGTTCTTTTAAATGTGACCACAGCTCTGGTTGGCAGATCCTCTTTTCTGGACATAATGGGTTTTTAAATGGCTGTCTATGCTTTCCCTTTAGGCCACAAAAGCCTTTTAGAGTGAAAAAACCCAGGAATTTTCCATTCGTCATGTTGTGGCCAATTTGTGTTGTTCCTCTAAGACTTAATACATTACATAATATTAGAATTTATCAGAATTTACTTCCCTTGGTAGGGAGTGCAATGTGTCACTTCTTTATGGAATTACAGTGACAAGAGTATACAAGTATACCAATTTTTTTTTTTAGAGAAATTGACAAAATGGCTCTTTCTGTGCATTACACTGACATCTGGTGGTGATTTGTTCTTTTCTGTTTTTCAAAATGCTGTGATCGAATGTTGATGACACCAAGAGCTATCATTTCTTGGACTATTGAGGCATTGCTTTATTGTTCATTTCATCTGCCACCAAAGCCATAACCAATCTGTGTGCTTTCTTTAAAGTTCACTTCGTTTCTATTCTTTTACTAATATTTTTATTGTGAGTTAAATAATACTACACCCTCTAGCAACTAGATCGTAATGCCCTAATTCAGACTAATAAGAACCGAACATGGCATCACAGAACTATTCTGTAATTTTACAGGGATGCCAGTGTTTTTGGCCAGTTCGTTGTAGTTATTTGTGTAGATTCAATTAGATTAAAAACAAGATCAGTACTGACAGAGGCATTACAGGTCATCTTGTGACTGAGGCCTGTAGACATTTCCCTATTTTGAAGCAGTTTTGTGCAGTAAGCGTTCCTCCTAACACAGATGGTGAAAATGGTCTTTAAACTAAGTGGGTACTTTTTCTGTCTCTTTTTAAAATTTTATGTATGCTGTATGTGGCCTTTTGGGCTGAATAGGATAAATTATTCTGTATTTTACATATGAATATATCCATTTTTCAAAGTATATAATATGTGCTCAGTCAGTCCTTAAAAGCTATTTATGCCATACCATGAACGCACATAGGAATTTTAACCAATGCTCTTTAAAACACACTTGCCTATAAAAATCTTAGAGAAACTCCATGACATATAAAGTATGCTGCTCCAAATTATTACTTTATATTTGTCAATGTTAAGATGAAACTGTAAGGTATTGGGGGAAGTAGTCATGTTACTTGTAGTTAAAATAGTGCCTTTAACATTGAGCTTGTCATCATTTAAGTACTGTATGAATGGGCGTGGTTGTTTGTAAAATCTTATTTCCATGTGCAACCACAGATTTGCCTGTTTGATAGGTCTAGTAGGCGTAATTGTGCTATATATAAATGAGCAATTGTAAATACGGACACCATGAAAGGCAGCAAAAATAGGCTTAGATTAATCATATTCATGATTCTCATCATTAATCTGCTTGTATCACATTGATCTTTGATATTTATTTTGTTTTTTATTTTCAACATCTAAATTATTTTTACATTCTTCTGTTTTCTTTTTAATTAGCTACCCTCATGTACAAACGAAATCCTTCATTTTTTTCCATTATGGCTGAATTTGAGGTTGTAAATTATTCCTGTACAAAGTCTGCAGTGTTTGTTTTGTACTTTTAAATAAAGCTTTTCTCATGTAACCTCGTTTGATTCACAAGTCTTGAGAAAAAAAAATCCACTCTTTCATCATTTATTTTCTATGAGAACAGATTTTGTCGTCAAAACCAACTGTACAGGTAGCTAAAATATCAGTATCTGTTTATAGATCATACTCTGATTCTCTCTCGCGCGCGCGCACACACACACACACACACACACACACACACACACACACACACACGTAAGGCAGCAATCACTGGCACAAGTCATACGCGCATAATGCTTCCTCTTAACATTCATTTAACAAAGATGACATACATGGCCACATTATAGACAAAACAAGTCAACTTATTTTGTCTATAAAGTGAAGAGAGCAACTGAATCACAAAACAGGTTGTTTCATTTTGAAGTCCACATCTTTGATGATAATATTTGCAAAATGTGATCAAATGAACTACAGGAGTAGATTTACAAATACATCAACAAACATTTTGAAAACAATTCTCTATCAAGACAAAACTTTAAAAGACAAGACTTTAAACTCTGTTTAGAAAGTACTGACGAGGACTTACTTTGTGGTAAGTTGTAGTAAAAAAAAACAAAAAACAATTTCAATAGCTTTGTCTGATAATTAACTAAATTACATTTCATGTTGGACTGTTTACAAACAATTTAGGCAAACCGCCTTTGAACGAGAACCAAACAACATAATTTAACATTAACAAATTAACATGCCCCGGTAACACCTGTGCCATTATACACTTGTCACAGGTTAAAGCTTTAACCAACCAAATAATTCTTGAATACAAATGATTTGCAATTAAAATACACCATGATGGCTGAGACTTGCATTTTTGCATCAGATCTCACACTCTTTGAAGGCCTGGTGTGAAAATTAATGAACCTCCAAATCAAGTGGGGGCAGTGCTCAGAGTGGCATGATTGATACAAAGGTTTCAAAGAGCAGCAGACAACAGTTTGAAGTGCGATCTCCAAAGCCAGGGCATCTCTGAGAACCAGTTCAATTCATCCTGAGACCCAGCAGAGGGCTGCTGAGCAAATACTTCAAACGACCAGATGCAAGAATGGCTCCCTAAAGCGTCGGTCTCGGATTCATTCCATCTGAACAGCTCCCTGTGCCTCATGTTTATCCGCCATGCTTCAGAACGGGTCAGAGAAGAGAAGGGGACTCTCCATCTACGTAGGATCAGGAAAGGATGAGCTCCAGGACTATGACAAGGAAAACAAAACAACCCCTGCTTGGTGTTGTCTACTTGTCAGGAAACGGTTCAGATCCCTTTATTGAGCTCTCTTTAAAATAAAAAAAATTTAAAAACCATGAGCTGATTTACATGATTAGGGTCCTCATTAAAGTTCTAAAGAGTCAAATTTGTTTCATCGATTAAATAAATAGATAGATCAAGACAGACGGGGCACTAGAACTCATCATCCGTGTCGATCAGCATCACTTTATCAGATTTCTTCGAACTCTTGGAGGTGCTGGTCCCTGGTTTGCCATTCATGTTGGGTTGCACTACTTCCTGGGTGGACTGCTGTGTGTACTGTTGGTAAGCTGGAGAGAAGTTGTGGATTGCATCCTGAACCATGTCTCCAGGGTTAATGGTCTCCTTCAGGCCACTGGATATGCTGTGCATAGGTGCTACATTCTCTACAAAAACAAAATGAAACAGATTAAAGCGTCAAATATCACGACATATTTCCGATGACATCGGAGACTTTAAATGAGCAAATACGAATGTTTTTGTACTACCAGAACTTGGAAAGGCAAGAAACTTGAGATTGATGTAACCAAAACACAAAGGAAATAAGAGGCAGTTTCACACAGGCTCATTATTAAAACCCATGACATCATAACTATATAATGGGGTCAACATTTGAGCCCTTGTCTAATGTAAAGGTCTGTACTCCTGCGGGACCTGGCCAGTGCGGGTCAAGTTTTGAATCAGGAGGGAAAATATTCATCTGTGAGCAGAAAGCAAGAGAAAGAAATGACTTGTGGGACTCCCACAAAATACATATAACAACTTAAGCCCTAATCAGACAGGACTAATTTTCTAGGGTGTCATTAGAGAAATTTGTGTTTCACAGACATGCTTTGGATTTTAAAGGGTTAGTTCACCCAAAAATCTAAATTCAGTCATTAATTACTCACCCTCATGTCGTTCCAAACACATAAGATCTTCGTTCATCTTTGTAACACAAATTAAGATATTTTTGATGAAATCCGAGAGCTTTCTGACCCTGCATAGACAGCAACGCAACCGACACATTCAAGGCCCAGAAAGGTAGCAAGGACATCGTAAAAATAGTCCTTGTGACATCAACAGTTCAACTGTAATGTTATGAAGCTACAAGAATACTTTTAGTGCACAACAAAAACAAAATAACTTTATTCAACAATTCTTCTCTGCTGTGTCAGTCTTTGCCGCGCTTTCACAAGAGTACAGAGATGCATGCGTGTGGTGCTGTTGATGCAGGAGCCGGTGTTCTGAACCCAGATGCGCTGTGGCTTGTTTGCAAAAAGAGGAATGCACATGCATGCCTTGTGGTACGGTCATGAACGTGCAACGAATTCTGACAGAAGAGAAGAAATTGTTGAATAAAGTCATTACTGTTGTTTTCATTGTGCTCAAAAAGTATTCTCGTAGCTTCATAAAATCAAGGTTGAACCACTGATGTAACAAGGACTATTTTAATGATGTCCTTGCTACCTTTCTGAGCCTTGAACGTGTTCGTTGTGTTGCGGTCTATGGAGGGTCAGAAAGCTCTTGGATTTCATCAAAAATATCGGTTCAATGCCGGATAAAGGTCTTATGGTTTTGGAACAACATGAAGGTGAGTTATTAATGACAGAATTTTCATTATTGGGTGAACTATACCTTAAATCCCGACCGAATCTGCCAAGTCTGTGTTTTTCTCACACAACCCCTGTAATAATTCCAGCGCAAATTGCCTACTGTAATTAAACAACTTGCCATTATCCTCACTCTTGTGAGCACATCACCACGGGCACCGCCAAGGTCCAACCCAGCTGTTCGCAGAATAGAAACCAGGATGTGGTTCTTCTGCTTCATTTATCTACTACAGGCTGGAGAGGCCAGGAGAGAAATTCACAATCCCACAGTTACCAGATTTGTCTCAGCTGTGGATGCATTAAATGAGGTTACAGAGTACAGCCTGATACACGGCAAAATGATGAGTGTCAGCTAACTGCATCTTGCCTTGTGGCTGATGGATGAGAGCTTGCCTTGGACAAAGGTGACGGCAGGCTGCCACAAGAGGGGTGCAAGTTTCTGACCTCCAGTTCGAGAAAAACTTGAACCGTGCTTGTAGGTCTCCAGCTGCCGGCCTGAGAACTGTACGGTGTGTGAACGGATGGCCGTTTTGGGCCTTTTCGGCCCTCATGGGTGGAGGGTGAAAACTCAGGATGAGAAAACTGTCCTGAACTTATTCACAGCTGGGCCGCTTGGGAGAAAAGGCCATCCTAGAAGGTTGCTCTGCCTAACAGGCTTCACAACAGTCGTGAGCTTTTTTCACCAGTGAAAGGTTATGAAACCAGCAGTGACTTCACCCTTTGAGCTCTGTGTTAAACTATGGAAAATACCACCATGCCTTCATATGCCAGTAAGGTGAAGGGTTCTTAACACATTTGTAGGTTTTCTCACATAGCCATGCCAACAACTGTTAAGCAGTGTGCTCCAATGCGCTTTCTGTGAAAAAAGACTTCATAGAATATTAACATTCGAACTGACACAAGGCTTGAAACATGCATATCTGACTGACAGTCGAGTTATATTTCATGGAGGCCTCTTGAAGTCAGAACACAAATCTAATGCAGCTTTTAACATTCAGCAGCTGAACTGACATTACAGCTTAAACTGGTGGAAATTGAAACAGAACTATTCTTCACCACCTTGAAAAGCACAAGCGGCAGAATATGACTAATTACTAAGCGTGAAGAGACTTTTGTAGCCCTGAGGATATGATCAGAATGATATACAAGCAGACTGCTTTCTGCACAGCACATACTGCTATTAAAAGGAGTATGTAAAAGGGTATGATATGCAACATTAAACGTTTCAATCAGAATTCTGTCATAGGGCCTGTTTACACCTGGTCACTTATGTGTTTTTAGGGATATCTGATTTGTTCAAATGGTTTAATTTACACTTAAATGTGTCTCTACAAAATAGATATAAATCCGATCTTCAATTCCTGCACTATGCGCAAATTTAAGTTCATGTCAACGAAAGCAACAGATATACGCTTTATTTTATTTGGATATTTTAGTTTCATTTGCAGCAGTTTGCCCATCGGCTTGTTGAAGAGATACTTAGCTACTCATCTGCGAGGATGCTCGAAGCATTACAGCAGTCATATCTGACTATAACGTCATATAGCCTATGACACGCTCTTATGCATTTACACGTCTCGTTTTGTCTGGAATGCTTAGAATCCTTAACACTGGTTGCCACCTAACATTAAATGTCCAAAGAAGGAGTGGTTAACACAAAATCATGTCAGAGGAGGTTACAAACTCTTGTGAGTGTGATTCTCTCAAAATCAAGTCTTTTGAGTGATTTTAAGTGGAAAAAAAGAAAGAAACCATAAGATGAATTTGACTGATAGCATTATTTTTTTTCCTCCAAAATTTCTACAGATATTGTGGTGATATGAATTCTTTAAGCCACAATAATTGTGTAGTGAAAATCTGATATCATGACACCTCTTCTGCGAACAAACAACATAAGGGCGAATGTCAGAATTGTCATTTTTAAGTGAACTATTCCTTGAAATTGTCATCAATTTGACCTCATTATGTTGCAACTGAAATTCCCAAAAGAAAGTTTTGCGCCAAGAAAACACCTGATGAGGATTTCATTTCCTAATTTTTCAAGTGAAATGGCATCATTCGACCTGCCACAGGTTTGAGTTTCTCAGCACACAGGAGTTATTTTGATGATCTGTGTCTATGAGTGGAGCTTTCCAGCAGTCCTCTGAACTGTGAGTCATAACCCTCCCGAGGAAGAAAACTTCCAGTTGCCTCATAAAAGCTTGCTGTGGCATGTTTCTAAGATCATCTAAACAACAAGTTAAAAAGTTCTGCTTTGTTTTTCCGAAGTGTCAAATTTATGAGGATCTAACCTGGTGCTTCACTCTTCTTCTCGCGGTACACACTGGAGGTGAATGCGTAGCGGAGGGCAATGGAGGCGAAGAACATTTCAATGCAGATGATGAAGTTCTGCCAACCAGCTGCCACTGAACCAGCCCCCACTTCATGACCATCAATGACCAGAGCTTTTGGGATCACACCACATCGCTCCAGAATGGCCAATACCATACCTAAATAAAGACAAACCAAAAAAATCTGCAGTGAGAAACTTGACTCCAAGTTCCTGGCTTGTCCACAACAATATTCAAAGAAAACGTTTCATGTGTCAATGAACAGCTTGAGATGAATACTGAACATATAACACAATGTAACCAACCTTGCCAGAAGGAGAGGAAGATGACTGATTTGATGGTGAGGAATTTGAGCACAGGCTCAAAAGGTCTCAGAAGGTCACTGGTGGCGAAGTAGAAGAGGAAGAGGGCATAGAGAGCACAACTGACAGAGATGTTGTAGATGATGGTGATGTAAAGGTAACCTCCCGTTACACTATATGAAAAGACATGACAGAGTAAAACAGTTCATTTAAAAAAACAGATGTTATTATGGAATGTTGATATGAGATGAAATGGAATGAATCACAGGATGGCTCACTTAAAATCTCCATCGTGATATTTGCCAAAAGCCTGCAGAAGGATGGTGATGACAGCCATGATGGGCTTCACGACACAGAACTGAAGTGTGGCCTAGATGATGTAACAGAAGCAGATGAGCAACGGTGATGGTTTAGTTTTTATGCCAGTTCCATTTAGTCAACATGGGCCTGTAATATAGTTTGAGTGATGGAGAACTTCCAGTCCTCATCATTTTCAAAGGCATGGTAATGTAGCATTCTTTTTTTTGACAGGAAGTGCTTATTTCTTACATAATCAACACAAAGTTTGACATGACTGACAAATCCACTCATTGAGAATGACACAAAGGAGAATTTTCTCGCTACATGCAAGTCGGAATCGACTGCTTGAGACATCAACGTGCAATTCAAGTTTTAAATTGAAGCTGTCTGTGAGAAAAGCCGTCGCAAAATAATCAAAGCATGCTCCGTCTCCGCTACAGTCTGGTATATCGCAAGGTGATGCTTTGAAGAGTCCTACACGTAGGTGTCTGGTCAGACAGATTTATGTGTTTTGAAATTCTACTTGCTATTAAAAAAAAGCTCAATTCACATTCTTTTCAGTCTTTTTGGGGACGGGGCTCTCAAATCCAATTTCCATCAGTATTATTCTCAAAGTGCGAGCGGGTTCCTCAGCTGCCGCACAGACAGCATCAGGCTGGCGGCAATAGCTATTTTTTGCGTTTATTATCGAGTGACTTGCACCTGCTTCCTATGGTTTTTAATCCTGCTTTAACCACTGGAGCTCCTCGGGAAAGACAATGGTACAAAGATAACAGCTGCCACTTCGTGACAATTCAGGTAGAAAGGGTAGATAAAGGTTGAGGAGACAGAAAGTCACAGAAATTCAGACCCTCTTACTAACGTATTCATGTCATTTACATATGTGACCCTGGACCACAAAACAGTCATAAGGGTCAATTTCTCGAAATTTTCATAATCTGAAAGCTGAATAAATAAACTTTCCATTGATGTATGGTTTGTTAGGATA